TTTTTGGCGGTAAATCTGTACTCTGGACTTCTGGGCACGTGCCCGGGCACGAGTTCAGCTTTGAATCCTCCGTCAGCCAGATTCACCTCATCTAACTCCAACCCTGCGAACTCCTCAGCACCAACTCCATGCCCCGTTTCCATCGCAAGCAATCCCTCAGACGGTCAATTCAAGTGGAACGTCACGCACGCAAAGCCCTGCGAGACAACAACCTACCCCTTCTAGCCAACTTTGGAGTCGATATCGCTGGCGCCCACTTCCTATTCCGGATGCTTCACGCCCTAGCGCTCTTTCGCCAATCGATCACAGACGATGATAAAAAAAAACCGCTCTCGTAACTCTTGTCGGTATTCTCGAGTTGATACCTGCTTTGGATCAAAACTATAACCTCCTTCGCTGGGGATATCATCTGCGAAGACAGGCTATTTCAGATCTTGAAGTCCTAGATGAAGCACTCACGATCTTAAATAATAAGCGATTCGTTTCAAACAGGATCCCTCGTGGTCGTAAGGAACTCCGAAATGCCTGGTTCTCTCAAGTGCTGATTGAAGGTGGCGATGGCTTCATCAAGCTCGTAAGTGACAGATCTTCATTTTTAAATGTGACTTGTATTTCACCTGCTTAGTGAGGTTTCTTTTCAGGCCCGAATGTCAAAGTTAGCTTTTAATAAGCTGATTGATTTAATTGAGGATAATCCTGTATTTCATAACAACTCGAACATGAAGCAGGCTCCTGTTTGGTGGCAGACGTTGGTGGCACTTGCAAACTTAGGAACTGGAGGAAATGGTGGAGACCATTTCCATCTGGCCAGGATGTTCAATTGCTCAGGTAAGATTGAATTGTAATTTCTATTTGTACTTAAGATTTTCCCGCTTCATTTTTGCTTCACTTCTATCCACAGAAGGAAGCGTGCAAAATTGGACGAAACGGTTCATCCATGCCGTTCTCAGTTTGAAAGACCAGTACATGCGGTGGCCAACTCCTCAAGAACGCTTGGCTCTGAAAGAAGAAACTGCGTCGATGACTTTCTTCAAAGACTGCGTGGGATTTGTAGATGGTACCCTGATTGCCCTGGCTTCAGCTCCTCGGGTGACACCTGAAGATTATTATACCCGGAAGAACTTCTATGCGTACAACATAATGCTGGTATGTGATATTCATCGGAGGGTGACTTATTACGAATTGGGGTGGTGTGGTAGTGTGCACGATCAGCGTGTGTTCCGGTCTTCAAAGGTCTGTCTCGTCAACGTAACTCATCAATTCACAGTCTTACTAATCACATTCCCATTTTGCATCTATTTAGTTGTACGAAAATCCCAACCTTTATTTTGAAAAAGATGAGTATATACTAGCCGACTCCGCGTATACGGTATCCGATGTGGTGATTCCTTGTCTCAAACGATGTGCTGGTCACAGCCTTCGATCTGATGAAGACGCTTTCAATAAAGCAATCAGTGTGTTGCGGGTTATCATTGAACATTGTAACGGAATGTTGAAAGGCAGATTTCAATCTTTAAAAGAACTTAGATTAGTCATCAAGGACGCCTTGACTGCATTGCAAGCTAACCAGTGGATCGAAGTATGTTTGATCATACATAACTTCCTCATCTCTATCAAAGAGGACTGGTCTGGTGTACTGGGGACGTTAGACGAAGCTCTCGATTACCAACCGCGCCGTCGAAATACACCTCCGGGTGCCCCAAATTTTGATAATGACAATTCAATTTTAAGAACAGAGCGTGATACACGTCAAAGAGATGATCTTTTTGCTGAATTCTTAATGACCAGACAAAATCATTAAGATATTTATTTTATTACATACCTTAGTTTGGGTGAACCCGTTGTGGTGGCTTTTTCTTACTTAAGTGCTCACTTTTTTTGTTTGAAGTTTTTTTTTTTATGTATTCTCCTTTTATGTTATTTTCAAATAAAGTATCTATTTGATTCATTTCGAAAGTGGCAAATAATAAAAATTGATTTCAAAATAACAGATTTCAGATTGAGTGCAAACAAGCCAGAGCGAGACAAATGGGACCTATTTAATACTAAGAGGAATCATTATAGATATAAAAAAAAGAAATGTAAAACAAGATAATTTTTTATTTTGATTTGAGAGAGGTTTTAATTTTTTTTAAAGAGTTGAAGTTTTGACGAAAAGAAAGTACAAGAGAATTTTTTTAAAGAGATGAAGTTTTGAGGCAGTCCAAAAAGAAAGTACAAGAGATATAACTCTTTTGTCAAACACCTGAGCCTGAAGCTGAACTCGATTGCATCATTGATTGTGCGTGTTGCGCAGCGAGCATTGCGTCCTGAAGGCTGAGGTTATGATCTTTCATCAAGGTACTAATCAGATGAGCATTTCGTGCCACTTGTTGATGTTCATATTCAGCTTTCATTTGCTTCATCTCAAGTGAATGTTTTTCCTTTCGCGAGTCTAAATCAAACTTATCACTGCTTAACTTCACATCAACCAATTCCAGTTCAATCTGAGATTTTTTTTTTGCTTCTTCAGGGCTGAACTCGGTTTGTTTCGGTTGTTGTCCACAAATAGAGCTACCCATGTTTTCAACTACCTGAGCCAAACGTTCCATACTTTGACCATGTTTAAAAAAAGCTTGTTGCTCCAAAGTATTGAGGTTTGGATCCGCTCGGACATTTGAACTTGCTTGTAGAGGGGTTGATCCGAATTGATTTCCTTGTAAGAGAGCCTGGATTGAAGACGCCGAACCAGAAGTTCGGCTTCTTTTGCTGAAGGTCCCAACGCTAGTAGAGTCAACTGAGTTTCTAGAACCTGTGCGCTTGAGTGATGAAGAGGTCGTTTGAGTCTCAGATTGGGCTTGAAAAGAATCTCTTGGTCGGAACGGGGTGGGTGTGTAAGGGATTTGACCGTCATCTGGAATTTCATCGTTGTCATTCAAGACATTCATGAAGTCTTCCATAGTTGGCTCTTCGGAACTACTGTTTAAACCATCTTCCACAGCATTTGTTGATAAAGCCTCTTGCATAGAACGGCTTTGAAGCTCCTCATAAACTACATTTGAATTAACTGAATGTTCTCTTGAATCTGTTATGATCCCTATACTGGGGATATGCTTATATTGAGTACAACCTCACCGCCATAGTTCTGTGCGCGTGCCATCCTTGTTGTAACCTCATGCTTCAATCTTGTTATAATAATAAGCACACCTGATCTTGTAGAAGCCTTGACCATAACATATTGAAGCATCTTAAATCACATACGACATCAGGAGAAGTAAGAAGAACGAATATCAGAAGTTAAGAAGTTAAATTAAAGAAAGTTGAAACAAAGACTCAAGAAAGTTAAAATTAGAAAATTAAAGTTAGAAGGAAGAAGATTAGAACCTTAAATCCCCTCAAACTCCGACCAGATCTGACCAGATTAAAGGGATTCAATTAGATATTCGAAGATCATCAGAAACAATTAACCCGAACAAACCTTATTCAACCTAATCTAGTTCACAACACCCAACTTTACTATCCCGGGAAGTCGATCCCCCAGCCCTACTCCAACACATACCACCGGCTTCGAGACAGCTGTATCACCGGAGGCTGAAGAAGGAATTATGGATGGATCAATGGAACAGCCACCGAACCCAGCAGATCCATTGGCGGAAGTCCTAGCTAGATTAGCGAACCTGGATCTGAGATTAGCGGAAGAGTCTCGACTACGTCAGAATGCTGAAAGAGAGTTAGCGGAACTACGTGCAGCAACTTCAGCGTCGACTCAACCTAGCCCTGTCAACGTTCAAAGCCCCCCTCCGCAGCCCGTTTATCAAGCTGCTGTCGCTAAAACACCAAAAGTAGCGACACCCGACAAGTTTGACGGTGCGAGGGGTAGCAAAGCCAAAATAATTGCAAATCAAGTTGGGTTGTACATATTAATGAACCCGACCCAATTCCCTGACGACCGTACTAAAATAGGATGGACATTGTCCTATATGACGGGCAAAGGTGGCGAGTGGGCAAAGCCGTTTACGAAGAAGTTGATGAGTAACGAAGCAAATGATCTCACCTGGGACGGATTTAGTCAATCTTTTGAGGCCACATTTTTTGATTCCGAACGTGTAGCGAAAGCTGAACAAGGAATTCGAGCCTTGAAACAAACCAACACCGTCTTAGCGTACTCACTGGCATTCAATAATCTTGCTCTCATCGTTAAATGGCCCGAACCCGTATTGATTACTCAATTTCAACAGGGTTTGAAGCGGGAGATACAGGTGCAAATGGTTAGAGATAAATTTGAAAAATTAGAGCAAATATCAGAACTAGCAATTAAGATAGACAATATTTTACACAAAAGATCAGATGATACTAGTTTAAATGATGTTAAAGAATCATCAGTAGATCCCAATGCTATGGATTGTTCGGCTTACAGATTTAATATTTCAAATGAAGAATACCAGCGTAGATGGGATAGTGAACTCTGTTTCAAGTGTGGAAAATCAGGTCATAGAGCAAGAGAGTGTGGTGGGGGTTTTAGAGGAAGATGGAGAGGAAAATTTAGGGGAGGAAGAGGAGCAAAAGTTAGTACTACTGAATTAAATGTTGAAGATAGTGGGAAGGAAAGTGGAAGAGCTGAAGAGTCAAAAAATGGCGTAGCTCGGGGATGAAGGTTGTTCCTACCCCGGGCTTAAGGCATGATGAGTTAGTTATAGATTTAGGAGCCATTGAAATAGATATTCAAACAATTGCAATGAAAGAAAATCGTATTTTTGCCACTATCCCTATAATTGACCCATCCCAAGAAGCAACCTATTTTGCAAGAGCCATGTTTGACTCAGGAGCCACACATGATGTCATGAATGAAGCCTTTGTTAGACGCACCAACATATCGACCACCAAGTTAGATCAACCCAAGCCAGTCACCGGCTTCAACGGATCTCAATCCTTTATCACCGAGGTAGGACATCACATAGTCAGCATTAATGGAAGAAGAACGCCCTCGACCTTTTTAATATCACCCATCAAGGACTCCATCGACTGCATTATTGGAATTGAGTGGATATGCGCACATCATAAATTAATTGATTGGAAGAAAAGGACATTGTTGAAGGAAAATGAAATTGCGGTCGTCGAGACGACCTTGACATCACCGAAAAACCCTCCGGGGATTGTTCAACTGGAACACCTGGAGAAAGCTAGGAATGATGGCAAGGGGGTGTGTATCCCAGTGGATACATTAACACCCCCGCAATGTGAGTTTGATAGCATTTTTTCAACTGTTTTCAAAGAAAAAAGAAGCAATCAGGATCCTCTCCCAGATTTTAGATCCAAACAGAAGAACGACATACCCGACGAAACAGACGTACCAGAGCCCATCGAACCCCAAGTTGCAGCCTCTATGGAGGCTTCGTCGAATCCGAAAAAATCCCTGGACGAACCCATAGTGGAGAACCAAGGGAAAGCTAGGAAAAACGACGAGGGGGTGTGTATCCAAACAGATACGCTAACACCCCCGCAACGGAAGTTCGATAGTTCTTCAAAGATTAAAGTAAAAGAAGCGGCTAGCAAGCAGTGTTTTTCCAGACAGTTCAGCCACCAGCACACGAATCCGAGCAACTTGACCATGACCACCGCTAAAGGACGAACTTACCTGCCTCGACCCAAGATCCTAGCAACCCCTCATCTAGACGCAGCAAAAGCCTCATGAAACATTTCGGCACGACTGGCGTCTCAGGATCAAGAAACGAAGCCCAAATTATCAGCTGCTGATTTAGTACCAAAGGAGTATCACGACTACCTGGAAATGTTTGAAAAATCCAAATCTAATGTCCTACCACCACACAGACCATACGATTTCTGTGTGGACTTGATCCCGGGAGCAACACCTCAGGCCAGTCGAGCTATACCACTGTCACCTGCAGAGAACGAGGTGTTGGAAGAGATGTTAGCAGAAGGTTTAAGCAATGGTACAATCCGACGCACCACATCTCCTTGGGCCGCACCTGTACTATTTACGGGCAAGAAAGATGGGAAGTTAAGGCCATGTTTTGACTACAGAAAACTAAACGCACTCACTGTTAAGAACAAATATCCGTTACCTTTGACCATGGAACTGGTCAACAGCCTACTCAACGCTGATAGATACACTGCATTGGATATGAGGAATGGGTATAATAATTTAAGGGTTAGAGAAGGAGACGAGGCTAAGTTAGCGTTCATCTGCAAGGCTGGTCAATTTGAACCACGTACCATGCCGTTTGGACCCACAGGAGCGCCGGGTTACTTCCAGTACTTCGTACAGGACATCTTCAAGGACCGTATTGGTAGAGACATGGCTGCATTCTTAGACGACATACTAATCTACACTAAGCCAGGAGAAGATCACGAGAAAGCGGTTAAGGATGCATTGGATACTTTAAGGCGTCAAAACGTATGGCTTAAACCTGAAAAATGTAAATTTGGTCAAAAGGAAATATCTTACCTAGGTCTAAGATTGTCTTATAACAAGATATCCATGGATAAGTCTAAAGTCGAGGCCGTAACAGCGTGGCCAACTCCCAAGAACGTGGGTGACATACAGCAGTTTATTGGTTTTGCGAACTTCTATCGAAGATTCATAGCCGATTTCTCTCAAATTGCAAGACCTTTACACGACTTAACACAGAAGGACGTCACATTTGAATGGACAACCGCGAGGGAAAAAGCTTTTCAGGACTTGAAAGAAGCATTCACTACCGCCCCGGTACTCAAAATAGCCGACCCGTATAAACAATTTATACTGGAGTGCGACTGTTCGGACTACGCATTGGGAGCCGTACTTTCACAGGTCTCAGAAGACGATAATGAGTTACACCCAGTGGCCTTTCTATCTCGTTCTCTCATACAAGCAGAAAGAAATTATGAGATTTTTGACAAGGAGCTACTGGCTGTCGTCGCGTCATTCAAAGAATGGCGACATTACCTTGAGGGAAATCCACACCGACTAAATGTTGTGGTTTACACCGACCACAAGAATCTGGAATCACTGATGACCACCAAAGAGTTAACCCGTAGACAAGCGCGCTGGGCTGAGATCCTGGGATGTTTCGATTTCGAAATACGGTTCCGTCCCGGAAAGAAATCAGCGAAACCTGACGCGTTGTCTCGGAGACCCGACTTGAAGCCTGATGAAGAGTGTAAACTGACCTTTGGCCAATTATTGAAGCCAAGTAACCTGCCTAGCGACACTTTCATCTCGGAACTAGAAGCGGCGGAGACACTGCCAGCATTAAAGAGGTTCCCAGATGGGAATATGGGTCCTAGTGATCAGATTCCCATTCTGCTACTGTTACACAGTTCCATCAATATTTCCTGAGTAGCCATTGTGATATATGTAGTCAATATTTTGAAATGTGTGTCTCAATCTGAACAAAGTTACAGCATGTATTACACATGATTTTCTTATCTAGATGAGCAGATAACTGAGCGGACCTGTATGTAGCTGATAGCTAAGGATTTATTCAGATGTTTGCACATATGTAGTGTATGCTTTATGGCTCAGATGTGCAGTGCAAGATGATTTGATGCTCCATTCTTCTCTCAATGATATTCCCAGCCTAGGTCATGTTCCGACCAGGGAACCTATTTAATGCTGGCAGTGAGAGTTGGTTGATTGACAAAAGTGACATAAATGAATGGTTTGAGGATTGTGAGGAGGTTGCAGATTATGGAGAATCAGATTATAAAGAAGCTGAAGAAGTTTTCGAACTGGAAGAAGCAGAAGTACCTCAAGTTTGGGATGACACCTTAATCATTGAGGAAATCAGAAATAAATCAAAGGAAGATGAACGTCTTATGCGGATAATGGAAAACTGCTTGAAGAGTCCAGATCATTCATACGAGGACCATGCGTTAGTGGACGGAGTGCTCTATTTTAAGGGCCTGATAGAAGTACCGGACAATGAAGACATTAAGCTCAAGATTATGAAATCAAGACATGATAGTGTCTTAGCAGGCCATCCAGGCCGTTTAAAGTCCCTACAATTGGTGAAGAGGCAGTATCACTGGCCGTCGATGAGAGTATTCGTGAATGCGTACGTCGACGGGTGTCATTCCTGTCAGAGAGTGAAGCCAAGGACGACTAAACCTTTTGGAAGCCTACAACCACTGCCCATACCAGCTGGTCCCTGGACTGATATCTGTTACGATCTTATTACTGACCTACCCATATCTGAAGGGAAAGATTGTATCCTTACAGTTGTCAACCGCTTGACTAAGATGTGCCATTTCATTCCTTGCACAACAACAATGACTTCCGAAGAGCTAGCAAAACTAATGATCAAATACGTATGGAAATACCACGGGACCCCGAAGTCTATTACATCGGATAGGGGTAACGTTTTCATATCTAAGATAACAAAGGAACTGAATAAACAGTTAGGCATAGTGACACAGGCTTCGACGGCGTATCATCCTCAAACGGACGGCCAATCCGAGGTAGCAAATAAGGCTATCGAACAGTACCTTCGTCACTTTGTTACGTATAAGCAAGATAACTGGGCTAACCTGATTGACATGGCAGAATTTTCATACAATAACAGTCCGCACACATCAACAGGCATATCACCGTTTAAGGCAAACTACGATAAGAAAACACAAGAGTCCCCCGATTGGGAAGTAGGATCAAAAGTTTGGCTGGATTCGAGACACATCTCAACAACGCGACCAAGTGCAAAGTTTGCACATAAATGGCTAGGACCTTTCGAAATTTCTCATCGAATATCAAAAAATGCCTATAAACTGATTCTACCTCTTTCAATGAAGCGAGTACATCCAGTGTTCTCTGTAGGCCTACTACGACCATACAAAGCAAGTGTCATCAGTGGGCAACTTCAACCTCCACCGGCACCAATCATAGTTGAAGAAGAAGAAGAATTCGAAGTTAGTGATATAATCAACAAGAGGAAAAGAGGGTCAAAAATTGAATATCTAGTCAGCTGGAAGGGATATGGCCCAGAGGAGGACTCATGGGAACCGGCCGAGAATTTAGGTAATGCGCAAGATGTAGTGGATAGGTTTAACATCAAATACCCAAGAGCTGAGACTAAATACAAAAGGACACGGAGAGTACGTTGAGGGCAATGCTTTTTCCCCACGTGGGTTTTTTAACGCTAGCCCGGGGAAAGACGTCAGCTCAGCAAGAGGGAGCGGGAGACGTAAAGGGGGAGGTAGTGTTATGATCCCTATACTGGGGATATGCTTATATTGAGTACAACCTCACCGCCATAGTTCTGTGCGCGTGCCATCCTTGTTGTAACCTCATGCTTCAATCTCGTTATAATAATAAGCACACCTGATCTCGTAGAAGCCTTGACCATAACAGAATCACGCTCCATTTGAACTTCGCTTTCAAGGTTTTGAGTAGGTGCAGGTAAACCGTGCGCGGCAGCGAGTCTGACATTAGCATGTCGGGTTCCAAAGACGGGCTCCAGTTCCACGAAGTATCTACACTTCTTCAAGATAGATGCTAAGAAGAATGCGAGAAAAGACATTAGAACAACACATAAGGGAAACATGCATAGATCCAGCATGATTGCTTACCGAAGGCTACCTTTTCCATTTTAATCCATTCAGGATTATCATCAGCCCAACCTTTCGCAGCCTTGACTTCCTTCGCTGTCATCCAAGTGCCTTGGCCAGTCCGGTTTCGCTCATCATCGGCTTTGCGCCAAGCCTCTTCTAATCGCATAATCTGTATCACAATATTGATTTATGAAGAAATCAATAAAGTGAGACTGAGACATCAACAAAGGAAAGAAACATGAATAAGACAAAAATATGTACCTTTTTCCGGATCGTGTTCGCATCTCGCCAAGTGATTCCATTATCTATGAAATACCTTTCAATCTCTTTAGCCACAGCTCGCTTTTCAGATTTGTTATCTTTGAATCTACTGAAATTATGTTCATCTGTGAGCCAATTGAGCAATAAGTACATCGAAGATTTCCCCGCCCCATTATCATCATTTTCCCAATGAATGGTTGTCCTGCGGCCCTTCTCATCCTCGTCATTAGAACTTTCATCATCGGATTTCGGCTTTTTGGACTTCTTCGATTTTGGTTTCCGACTTTTTGACTTAGGAGGCGAGCGTGGTTTGGGTTGATCTGCTTTTGATTTACGAGGTTTCTTAGCTTTGGGCATTTTGTTTTTGTTGGGAACACTTGAGCCGGCGGATTGAGCTAGTTGGATCGCGCCAGTGAGCACCTGACTGAGAGTTGAAGGGTCCAGTTGGAGATGAGTAGCGTTAGGATCTGGTTCGGAAGAAGGGTCAAGGGAATTGGAGGTATCAGAGGGTATATCTTGAGACAACGACATGAAATTAAAGTTAATCTGGTATGTGGGTATTGAATTGGGTGTGTGGAATCTGAGCGGAGATCAGATTTGGGCAGTGAATTGGGCAGTGAGGTGGGAATTAAGTTTTGCCCAGTTTTTCCCTCGTGTCCGGGAAACTGGACTTCTGGGCACGTGCCCGGGCACGAGTCCGGATTTGTACTTTGTATCCCATAAATGATCTATTTTGGCCTAGTACATCGTACCACTCCGTCGTACTATATAGATATCTTTGAAAATATCTGTGGCAAATAGGATGATGATACGACATTCTACTTTAGAGTACTGATTATTAAGGTTGATTTAATCTTGACTCACTTGTTCCTGTCTCACTCTGTCACCTTTTGGTCAATTCCTTCCTATATGTACATATATTTGGATTACAATGAATTATCTTGATGATGATCAGCGTATTTATATCTTGCGTACTCAAAAGGCGCGCCCATCACGAGAGCCAAGGCAGTGAAGGCGCCCCGCGTTGGTAAATATGAAACTGTCAACAGGTCCGGGTCGGTTCCCGACTGCGGCAATTTGGCAATCAACTTTTTTTGGAAGCCCCGCAAAAAAAATCTCATTAAGCAAATCAAAAGAAAAGTCATCAAGATTCCAAATTGTATATAACATGAAGAGTCCTTCAACGAATAAGAAAAAAAGATCAGCTTCATCAACTGACGATAGATCAAAACAAATCAACCACAAAAAACGAAAATCAGATCAAAACAATCAAGATACCATCATAACCACCGAAGAAATACCAATCCCAAATAGCCCCGACAAAGTTCTTAGTCAAGTGGAGAAGGAAACAACGACACCTAGCGTACCTAAGACATTACTTGATCAGATTGATATGACCAAACCTTATCTTTCGGAAGAACAAGTTGGAATTCAATGTTATATTAATCAACATTTACCTTCGTTTTCTGCTATACTTAAACATCGATTTACGGATTTTTTGGTTTATGAAGTAGATCGATTTGGTGAAATTGTTCGATTGAAAGAGATTGAGAACCCTTCTAAAGATAAAGAAGTAGGAAATACTCAAGTTTCTAAAGGTCCCAAAGAGGTTGTTGATGTAAAGGTATGAATTTTTTTTTTTGGTTTGTGGTTTTGGGATTGGATTTTTGATGGTTTGGTTTGGGATAGGAATGGCCAGTGGATTGTGATGAGAAATTGATTGAGATTCTTGGGAATGAGAAATTTGAAGAATTGAAAGGGTTTGTGGCTCGGGGTCCTATTGGTTCTAAAAGAAATGATGACCGATCGAAGGGATTTAAGAACAAGCGTCAAGATGGAAAAAGTGATCAAAAATCTAATAGTAACGATGATGTATCTAAGGCCGATGAATCTGGTCCTGCGAGAGATGAAGGTCAACAGCCTAACGAATTATCCAAAGAAGATGTTTCTCCTTCAAAACCCCCTCAAGCCTCGGCACCTACTTGCCTTCTATCAGATGTGAGTTTCTAGCCGCCCGTTGAAAGTAGCCCAATTTTTGGCATTTTCTATGAGGCTAAGCTTTTCTCTCTGCAGCCTATTAACACATGAAATACTGGTTTCAAAGGCTATGATAATCTGAACAGCTCTGAACTCAATTTCTTCTCTGGTTTAGCCTATCGATTGTAAAGAACAGCGTAAAAAGTTTCATCAAATCTTTCGTGAAAGTTTTCAAGGACGATTGGTAACCGAACATAAAGAATTGGAAAATGGAGAAGCAGTGATCCAAATCAAATGGTCATCACCTGGTCAACATCAAGAAAGAAGACGTAAGTTTAAATCCAGATATGATGTTGTTAAATCCCATTTGAAAGTTTTTGTATTGATTTATAAACACTTTTAAGAATTTCAGTTACAGTTCCAGATACAAATCCTGCTTATATTCATTTCACATTACAAAAAACAAATCGAGAAACACAAGAAGCCTTATCGATTTTATCTAATTTATTATTTTCGAAAAACGTTTCAAGGGATTTCGGGATCTGTGGTACGAAAGATAAAAGATCAGTTAGTTGTCAAAGAGTTAGTTATAAGAGAGGTAGAAAAGATATCCAACAAGTTTGGTCAACTGTTAATCGGATTAAGAAGAATCAAAAGGTACATGGGTTTAGTGAACGTGGTGATAAAGGGATTCGAATTGGTGATTTGACGTATGAAGATCATCCTCTGAAGTTAGGTGACTCGAAGGGCAATCGATTTGTGATCATCTTACGGTTTGTCGTTTCTCACTTTACTTGACTTTTGATAGAGATGACTTACGAGTTCAAAGGTATCAAATCATATGATAGTGATGTGATCCCAGCAAAACCTACCGTTTTAAAAGAAGCAGTTCAATCACTTTCAACCAGTGGATTTTTGAATTATTTTGGAATGCAACGATTCGGTACCACAGCCGTTGGAACTCATTTGATTGGATTAAGTTTACTTAAAGCTGATTGGGATTTAGCCATTGATTTGATCATGAGAAAGAAATTAGGTGAAAGTCAAGATGTTGAACATGCTCGTTCGGTTTGGGAACAAAGTCAAGATGCTAAAGCTACTTTAGAACTTATGCCAAGAAGATGTGTTGCTGAACGATGTAGTTGAGTCAATTTTTCTGGCAAAGACTTGAAAAATAACCTTTATACTCATCTGTTTGGTTTATATCCTTTGATTTTTATAGTATTACAATATTTCAGTAAAAAGGATGGACTCACTGATAAGGTTGGAGCTTTGGCTAGCGTTAGTGGCTGATATTGATACATTCTCCTCAAGTTGGGATCGCTTGATCAACGCTGACTTCTTTTATCTTTTGTAACTTTCCAGATCCCCAAGAACTTGAAGATGATGTATATTCACGCCTACCAATCTTACATATGGAACCATGTCTTATCAGAAAGAGTGCGGTTGTATGGGTGTGATAAGCCTGTTGTTGGAGATCTAGTCGCCGTAACAACCGGCGGAAATGATGTTGTAGAAGTAGCATTGGATGGTGACGATGAGACTGCAACAACCGAAAGTTCGTAGTTTTCTGACTCTCTACATCATTCACAAAAGCTGATCTATGGCTGTTTTTTTTGCCTGATATGACTTAGAAGATAAAGTCCCACCGGTGAAAGTGCTAAACGATGAAGCTGAATGCAAATCATACACTATACAAGATGTTGTATTGCCTTTGATCGGATTCAAGATTGAATATCCTAAAGGTACATTAGGTCAAATGTATCTCGATATGATGAAACGAGACGGTCTAGACCCTGAAAATCTTCGTCGTGGTCAAGCGTAAGTTCTCATCTTTTTCCGTGACATCTAGTTCTTCAAAAAGTAAAGATGTCTAGTAGTAATTTATTGTGAATTTGATCGATGATTGCTTATGCCGTAGTGAATACTCCATGGTAAGGAGATCTTCTCTAAATATGTATCCTAACTAGCTTTCTAAAGCTGACAGACACTTTGAATCATTTGATGTTCAGGCCGGTGCATACCGAAAGATTTTACACATGCCAACTGATGTGAAATTTGCACTATACGAGTATGAAGACCCGGAATTACCATTAAGTTTTGCAGATGAAGATAAATTGATTGGAATGAAATTACCTGAACCTAAAGAATGGACTTCAACCGATGAAGCCAACGAAGATTGTAAGAAGAATATGGCATTAAAAGTTGAATTCACTTTAGGTAGTTCGGCTTATGCTACTATGGCCTTAAGAGAGATTTTAAAGAGTGATACTGGAAAAGGAGCACAAACTAAGATGACTGATAGGATGAGAGAAAGAATGGCTTATAAGGAATCGTGATTTGTGATATGTAAGATCTTTTTTTTACAAATTGTGGGTTTTTTTCGTTTCTTTAGGTTATGGGGATTTTGATTGGTTTATTACTTACTCTTGTTCTATTACTTGATGTTTTTAGACAGTATTCTAAACAAAATTGTATGCAAATAGAAGTATTTGATCAATGTGATATCTGATCATGTAGTGGAAATTGAATGAATCATTCATCTTAGACACATCGCAAAATGATTTGAATAGCTAAATTTTACTTATCCCATGTTTTTGAAAAATCCCAGTGCCTTGCTACTTGGAATGATCACCTCGACACTCATGGATAACCGAACAGATCTCAACAACAGACCACTTTTCTAGCTCGTCTTTCCAGCATATTACTATAGTTAGATCATGATTAAATAAATGAGATAAATTGAAACCAGAGATGTCTATTGACAAGCTATTTAAAATATCCTGTACTCAAATGATTTGGAAAGATGGATGGCAATGATCTGGATGAATATCTTTTAGATATCTTCCTTCTGGTGTGGTCGTTTGGGTGCGGGGCTAACATGTTGCTTCTCTACGAGCCCAACTCCTTTTCTACACCTGACCTAGGCTCCCTGATAGGAGTCGAGCAGTGTGGGGGGTTGCCCGAGGCACCGGGGGAAGGTTTCTCCGAGCTCTTTCCGATAGAAATCCCTATGCATTGACCCTTTGGTCCATATGGAAAGTCACAAGCCTGTTCACAGTTGATAGACACCCGACAAATTTGGTTTTTATGAGTTCAACTGTCAGCATGATAACAGGAAGAGGATGGTCGGGATTTGATGGTCCTCACGCTTGTTTTACTTCCAAACAGATAACAACAAATCTTTAGGATGAAAGTTTGTGGTGTGAGGACTTGTAATTGGTAAACCCTCTCAATTTTCACCTGAGGTTTCTCTTTCACTCTTATATTTTATGGTTTCTCGCTTAACTTAACAAAGTCCCTCGTGCGGAGGTTTGTTAAGTTAAGTTTCTCGCATTGAGGCCTCAGCGCTTGATTAGCTGCATCTAGCGGAAGACTTGATCTTTTGGTCAGAGCAAAAGAAACCTTTAAGTCTCTTGTACTAGATGATCATACTTTAGTATAATTGTTCTTGCATGTAAATCAATAACACTGTGATGCAAGAGTAAGCAGACTGCAGTGGAGGAGGTCTGGGGGATACATGGTTCATAGGACAGATGGAACCTACACGGAAAATTTACACAACCACTGATCATGAAAATGCGAGATAAAAACATAACCGAGAAGAAGAAAAAATCGTCACCACGCGAAAAACACACGTGCCTGAGTAAGTACAAGAGGGACCGCGCAAAACAAACTGATACACAATTATGTAGACAAAAGATTCAAAACAGAAAAGTGTAAAAGAATACGAGAAATCAAAAAAAGATGGATGTAGGTGATCAAAACACAACAAAGAATCACAAAGGAACAGCTAAAGGTGATAAACTAACAAAAAAGACACTAGCCAAAACAGTGCGAAAAAAAGTTTTTTATGATCGAGTTATTGGGCTCGGGTGTACCCTAGAAAGTGCATGACTTTCTAGGTACGTATTTGAGTGAGGAAAACTGCGTGAATAATTCGACAGAGAAAAGGACAAACACTACACGATACAAGTAAATGTTTATATACTAAAAGACGAGGTAAAACATCTAACAAGAAACTGTTCTGACCATCTTCGCTAACAAAAACATTCCTTGCCTGCAGTTTTCTTTTCAAAAAGATAAAACATTACAAAACATTACACATGGCTATCATGTATACAGACTTTAGGAGCTCTTCTTTCAGATCATGTGTAGGTGCAGACGACATCGTTCATCTCGATGGCACAGAACGCGAACCTGTTATTGCGGAATATGTCAGTGTAAATCTTACGTGTAAGAAGATACATCGTTGGGTGAATTGAGCTCAACATTGCGATATTGCAAGCTGCACTCGATTGAGAGGTAGCATCAGTGCAATCCGGAATTGCGCTTTCTCCAGTCCCAGTACAGCCACAATTGGTGACAATCGCATAGTAAGCATTCCAAACTCCTGTTTTTTTGTCACCAAAAAGACCTCTTGAGCCCAAAGTCAGTCAAACTGCACCAGAGAACTTTCGAAATTACCGTTGTGATACTGAAATTGCTCGGCAGCTGTGATATCTTGACACTCGGAGTTGACTGAAGAGGGCCATGAGCTACTTGAATTTATCATCGAGATTCCCTGCCCCATCATCATGTAAGGATAGGCAGAAGCAAAGGAGGTCGAGGAAATAGTTTCCTGAATGTTGAGAGAAAGTTAACTAGATGTCTGACTGATAGATATAAACGTTGGCAAACATTTCCACAAGTGAATTCTTTTCCAGTCGGCCAATTGGAATTGATGAGTGAACAAGCAATAGAGCCATTACAAACATGAGAAATTGCAAAGGCGTGGGATTGTCCAAGTTGGCCAGCAATGGCAGAATTGACTAGCAAGAGTGCAATGGCGCACACGAAGGGGAAGACAGGTTGTAGATGATTAATTGTAAGCATAGCTTTGTAAGTTCAAATTTCGAGTCGGGGGAAACACTTTCGCGTCAAATCTGGGCTTCTTTTTATCTTCAGGTTGAGGAAATGTATGAGCCATTTTGAAAGCGTCCCACTTTGCACTAGGGCATCTCGAGTAGAGGGTTTTTGGCGATTTTCGAACAGGGTCCAAGTGTGATTCAAACAGTGACGCGATGCTGAGCCTCAACCCTCTTGGTACCAGAGCGGAGGGATTTGTGAGTTCTGTTCGTTTTGTGAACGCTCGGTGAATACGAAGCGCTACTGACTAATCCTCTGAGGATGGGGCCAATTCCGCAAAGAGGGACTTGTGCCAACCGCTGATGCACGCGAATAACCTTTCGTGTATTGCTTGAGTTGATTCCTTTGCGTTATCAATTTGCACCCGAAGGAGCATCAAAGACGTCCATTGCGCCACCAATGTATTCAATTTCGCATAGCCCGAGGATCATGAAGTGCTTTTGATAGTTTACAACACGGTGACACGCAAATTGGATCCTAACTCGCACTTTAGACTTGCTTGTTGGGACGCAGATACGCTGATAGGTCTGCCAGTGGCAGAGTCGACCAGCTCGTAAGACTGTCCAACTTTGCGGCAAGCGGACTGATTGATGGATACCAGTGAATACCCCAATTTGTGGATGCAAATTGGTGTATTCATCGCTGATATCGGCGTGCGGAGACTTTCCGGTCATCCGCGTTTTAACGGAGTCACATGGTTTACCTCGTCTGAAAAGGACTGTGCAATCCACTGTCTTCAAAAGTCATCACCCACAGAAACCGCAAGGAACGGACGGCTCACGACCTACCAGTCCTTCAGTAAGTCATTGTTACTGATTTTTCCGATAAAAGGAAGCAAAAGAGCAAATGTCTTATCAACTATCTGCGCTCATTAGTTGTTTGTTTGATTATGATCACTCAAATTACTTGATTGATGTTGATCAAATGGTCTTCAAAATGTAAGCTTTCTACTCTAGAAAATATGTTTATCAAATCACTGTGGCATTGAGTTTCTGATTCCATCAAAACACAATGTAAAGAAAATTAAGATGAAGAACATGGATGATTAAAATACAAGAATCTAATCATACCTTTGATTACACTCCTTAAAACAAATCAAAACCCACAAGAGAAAAATGAAATGAAATGAAACAATGAATTTTCATTTGACTCAGAGAATTAAACTTTCACTTCAGATAAGGATTTCATTAAATCAAAATGCCAAGAAACTTTGTTGACTACCCCAGGGTCAAGGTGAGGGTTAAGGTGGCATGCACTGGTGGATCTGATCCAAGACAGATGACTGGGCCATCAGGTCAATGAGTTTATGGATTATGCAGAAGTTGGATTGCACTTTGGATGTGTTAAAAGAATGGTAAGGATATATAATAGGATCAAGATATCCAGATTGAGTGGAGGGGTGAGGGAGAAAGGCAGGAATGTGGTGCTACAAGTCTGCAAACACATTTGGACTGGTGTGACAGATGCAGACATGCAAAAGGTACTTAAAAAAATGATCCTAAAGCATAGACTGTGCACCCAGCACTCATCTCTTGAATGAGAGCCCCTTCTCTTCCTCCACAACCCTTCCATCCTTCAGATTGTGTTCAAGTCCCCTAGATCAAAAAGACCAACACTTTCCAATATATTGTAGAAATTAAAGAGGGATATTCCAATAGCACAACTAACTACTAGAAGTTGCCTGAAGAATATCTCTTCAAAATAATAAACACAGGGATTTGCTGAATTATTTAAGATAACACATCAGAATATCAATACTCAATTTAAGTATTATTCCTGTGAGATTTAGAGAGAAACAGCTCAACACTGCTATAGTGTTGGACGGCCACTATTTCTAGCCCCTATCAAATATCTGGCACCCCCCTTGTGTGAGGGTTGAGTATACAAGAGAGTACTCAAGGCTCACTAAGATCTGGCTAGGTGGGTTTATAATTTTTAAATAATTAAAGTATATTTCAAATATAAAGTATTACAATAAAATTATAAGGGAAAGAGAGGAAGAAGGAAGAGTGAACTGGTCTGTTTGGATAAACCCAGACAGACTACAGTTAAATGACTCCTAAAAAGGAGGTTCAAGGGGTTAATTATTATATAATTGTTGAAAGCTGGATCCAGGTCTTTCCTTCAATCTTCAATGGGGCTGATTGAAGAGTGATAAGAGGTCACAAATCTGGTTGTTATAAAGTCACCAACTTATGGTTGTTCCAAAGGTACACCAACCTTGAGTTGATATAGGTCACTAACCTGTAGTTGTTCTGAAGGTACACTAACCTGTGAGTTGATATAGGTCACTAACCTGTAGTTGTTCTGAAGGTAACTAACCTGATGTTTATTGGAAGGTCACTAACCTGATAGGGGTGTTCTACTTAGGGGAAGTAGGGATCCAAAGGATGAAGAATAAGGTTACTTTATCTTTTAGTCAGGAAGCTAACTTTAAAGATATGAAGTGAATCACCAGTCTTATATTTATAAGACTTTTGATTATGTACTTCAAAGAAACTTTAAAGGGTTCTTTAAAAGAGATGTGTAAAATATATGCTTGAGGGAAAATCCTTGGAGGCTGAGAGAGGAGGGGTTTATATATCCTCCTCTCCAAACCAAATTGTAATGATATTTGATTGTATCATCACTGTGGTTTAGGGTTTAATAATTACTATTAATTATTATTATTATTAATATTACATAATTACATATATGTGTTATGTAATTTATGTAGTATAAGCATTTTAACTCTTGACACTGAGTTATGAGGTGTAATTGGTATTTTATTACATGTTACATATGTTTTTAAGTGTATATACATATGTAATTGATGTTTGTATATGTTTTATTATATGTTACATGTGTTTTATAAGCTGTATGTACATGTAATTAGGTTTATAAGTAAAAGTCCAATATTATAAGTTAGTTTTGGGTACATGTATATGTACCCAGGGCTGACACCTTGGGTCGAACCGGGGGGTGTCAAGAGCACTGCCAACATATTTACCTCGGATTACAAAATCCGAGGTATTCTCGGATGCAAAACCTCGGACAGAAGCTTCCCGAGGTTTTGATCCGAGGTAATTCTCAGGGCAAAAAAATACCTCGGGCGCAAACCTCGGACAAGGTCTGTCCGAGGATTTGCCTCCGATGATGCCTCGGATTTCTCAACCCGAGGCATCTATGCTGGCAGTGGAGATCTGTAGCCCCTTCTCAAAAAGAAGGGGGCTTCACTTCAATTTTCTTTAGTCAATTTGATTCCCTTGTGTGCACAAATAACATGAACTTCAAGACTTGAACGAGTGATTTGATTTCATTTTACACATTATTTGATTCAACCAAAATATTCTATCTGATTAGTCTCTGAATCAAAACAGATTGGAACTTGCCAGTACAGATCAATCAATCTGAGTTCTGATCTTAGTGCAGAGTAGCAGTGTTTTTACAAAAAGAGAGCTGGTAATTTTTGTACCACTTTGAGAAAAATAAATAAACAGCTAGGGGAGAAATAAAGCCTTCAATTGATTTACAGGAATCAAACTTTTGATAAATCTAGAAAAAAACTTGCCAAGTGATTAATTAAAAGCTAATTTAGCATTACCAGATTCAAAGCTAGTCTTAGTCAAAGAAACCCCTTCTTTAAGCTCCAAAGATTTACTGCCAATAACCAAAAGAGCAGCTGATCTTAAACAAACAAAGTCCTTAATGCTGTAAATCTATGTATTAGAATTGATTTTGTCATTTAATAAATTGTTTAATAAACATTAATTTTCCTTAGCTTTTCCTCCAATTACATCTTGAAGTGAATGAGTTTGAATCCTGAAATTCTTCAATGATTCAATGACCAACTCAGGGATGATACAATTCTGATCAACTTTTCAAAATTAGTATGAAGGACAAAAGTGTGATCAAAGGAAGTTGGAAAAGGAAAGAAAAGACAAGGGAAAAACAGTTTAGCAAAGGAGGGAGACAATACCTTGTATATGTGGATGGCATGCCTCCCTTAAAGTTCCTTGCCTTGAGTCCTTTGGTCCATGCAGTTTTATGCCAGTCTGAGTGCAAAAGAATTCTTGAGCCCTTTTCTTTCTTTTAATTATGTTTGTTACCCCATGATAAAGAATGAAAGGTCACAAATTAGGTAAAATGAGGGCTCATTTGCAAAATTTTGCTTGGTTGAGGAGCCCCCTGCAAGCCCTACAGGTCCAACCCAGCCAAATTTTGGCTGATGAGACTCAGCTAAAACCAATCATTTTTAACAAAAGCCCTCAAAACCCCCCTGATGTGGTCTTATGATCAACTTATTACTAATGTATGACATGATTTAAGCTGTGAAATTATTAATTGGAGTCATTTTAAGGTTGTATAGATCTTCTTATGATGTGTAAAGGTTATCTTTCCTGTGAACTATAGCTGAAACTCATTTTTAAAATTACAACCTTTGCTCAAAGTGCTCCAATTTAATTACCAAAGCCCATCTTGTAGATCTCATGATTCTGATCAATCCTGGGTATCACCTGAACCACTTTCAATGTGTGATGAGCACGTAACCAAGTGTCAAGAGCATCTCCAATCATTGGTGTCAAATTTGGCTTCAGCAAGGCCAAATTTACAGATCTTTAGCCAGGGCCAAGCTAACTAAACCCAAATCCCACAATAGTTGTCTTCAATTTGGAGTTAACAAAATCTAAACTAAATTAAAAGGTGGGTCACAAGGACCGCCAGATCCCCTCTCAACATTGAGGGGGGTTGACAGTGTTGCAATTGTGTCCATAATGTGTCTAATCCCATCTGCCTTTGTGTGTCCTAGCCTTAGTTAGTGCTTAGTCAAAGATCTGATGCTCAGCAAGCTTGTTGATCTTTGAGCTCTCAGCTTGTGCTGAACTCCTCATGTAACAGAAATTCCACTCAGCAAACTGAATGAGCCTATATGGAAACCTCAACTTTGAGAGTTCACATGGGAAAATGTCAACATACTTCCATGAACCCATATGTGCTATCCCATGCAAGACATTTTGTCTCTCTAAGGCTTCAATCTTCAAGACCTTTCTAACCTTCTTATAACTCATCCTCAACTAGCTCCTTTTTTGCCTGTAGCCCTTTTGTCCATCTTCCCTCTTTCTCCTACCAGCAGCTTGCCTCCAACTGGATCACAATTATCCAAACCAACTTCATACCCAATTCAAGAGTCTACCATTGAGACATCAGAGAAAGCACTTCATCATTGTCCTGCCAACACACAAACCAAACCGCGGCAAAAAACGGCCTACAGTACAGTCTGGACACCGTAGCCTGCGGTCCAACCTCACCGTAGTGTGGAAAACTGGGAAAAGTATGGGGGGCCTACCGTACTACTACCACTGCTCAGCATTTCCTTGTTAATTTCACCGTAGTCCGGAGTGGCCTACGGTCACTACGGTTCATTTACATCATTCCCACATTCCCTCCCAATCCAGCAATATGTATACCACATTATTTGTTTCCAACCTTTGCAGCATCCCAATCGAGATTTCCGGCTATGCAACAGGGACTCTCAAGCCAGGCACCTTCAAGCAAGGGATTGGTACGTATATCCTCCAAGTTCCATAACTTTCTTCACAGTTATTTGTTTCATCATCTCTTACAGAAATGTGGAGGAACATAGTGTGAAGCATATTATGAGATTTAATGGATCTGTATATTGATAAAGATTGAA